CGATATTACAGACTTTACTCCACCACCAAATCAAAGCACTCTGCCTCTTCAAATTCTGCGTTCATCTTTGCTGCTAACGAGTCCAGCTCTGACATCTGAAATTGAGATGAATCAGAGTGTTAAGCAATGACTAAAGACACTAAGAAACAGGATAACCATTTCCACATAAGTATATCACCTAACAGAGAAGTAAAAGTAGTTTAAACACAGACTTAATTCACAGAGTTTAATTCACAAGTTTAAAACTAATTTTCTCTCCCCTGACCTGGCTGATATTACAGTCTAGGGCAGGCTCAGTCCTGATAATGACTGTCTGTGCTGCAGGGAGTGGCGGGCTCTGGGTCAGTAGGTTGTTGGTTCACCATTGACGAGTCCCTCGCCACATACCAGTCAGTGTCAATTTTACTTTAGCGATACAGCTGTCTGAGTGAAACGTGCCCTCCTGTCTGTAAGACATTTGCCATAGAAAAAAGTACAAAATATAGGGTAAATAATCAATGTGGTTAGGCAGTTTTTAAGCTTGTTTAAGACTGGATTTGTGTAGCCTTACTCTGAATAGTGATTCGTTTTCTTTTTTACATAGACTGTATTGAAACTAAAGCACCTGCATACTCTCTCTCAGCCTTAACTAGCATTTTCAGTTTCATGCATACAAAAAGGGAATTAAATTAAACTGATTATGGTGTTGATTGTGCTAATGAAATTAAATTTGTAAACAAAGCGGATACAGTTAAAAAAAAAAAAAAAAAGTTATTACAAGTGTTAAAGCAGCTTGGTGTTTGGTGATCATTCACACAGGATAACTGCAAGCCTGCCTTAGAGTCGTGCACAGGAACAATGGCAGCGCAGCCGATTGCGTTTTCTATGAATTGATTCAAAGACATGTCTGGGCTCTTCATGCTATAGGGGCAACATACACATGTGAATGGATATAACTGAGTGTTGTTTAAAATACAGGAATGAACTAAGCAGCTAAAAGGCAAAAATAAAATGACTGAATAAAACTAAAAATGAAGATCTACAAATGGTCAGTAATGCACTACTTGTGAAAGTTTGCTGTTTAAGGACAGGCCTTTAGTAAATGTACATTTTGAATGTATTTGTAGGTGGTTTTACAGTGTTGGTTACAATTTTCCAGTCACACCTGAACCTTGCTGTCTCTCTCTTTGTCGCAGTGCATCGTTCAGTCCTACCTCCAGTGGCTTCAGGACAGTGACTACAACCCCAACTGCCGCCTCTGCTCCACCCCCCTGGCCTCCCAGGACACCGTCAGACTGACTTGCTATGGTAAGCAAGTTCTTTGCTGCTTGATACAAAAGGAATACTCACACGGGCCTCATTGTCTATGACTAATCTACAAGGGACGTCTGTGTGCTATAACGTAATTAACTGTTGATTTAAGGGTTTTTGGATACAGAGTTTGTTGCTAGTGAGTGACATGCAGGCTCTGTATGTACAGCAAGCCACCAGTCACATTCAATATTGAAGAGATGCACAATGTACCATATTAATATTAACATTGCATGTTATACACATGCAATTTTTGCATAACAAGGACCCCCAAGTCAGCTAGGTTAAGACAATGACATTTTTACTCTCATAGGGAACTTAGCAAGCCTGTTTTATCAGTTTAAAATTTACTGCTGCTCTTTTTGCATGAGCTCTGCATTCACTCTTCAAGCCCGTCATAATCATTTTTGTCCTTGCTGTCAGTCTCACTTATAGACAGCGTGGCGTGTTTGTGAGATATTTAACGAAAATGAATGAGGAGGCGAAGATCAAACAAGAATTGGTTACCTTTCGCTGTACGGAAATATTTTGGATCCCATAAAGATGATATGCAAAAGCAAGTGATTTTTCAGCATTGCTTTGTGTCTGTTGACACAACACCATGAGCGGATCTGACACTCTGTGGATAGATAATAAGTTCACCTCTGAAAGGCAGTACCATCCTCGTCACAGGGAGAAATATGAATCAGTGTCATTTGGCAAATTACCAACTCAGCTACTTAGAAATTGTTACACACCGGACTGGACCTGGAAGCATGTCTCCTGTTTTGGCTTCTCTATGATAGCCCCAGAAAAAACATCAGAGAAGATTTTTTATAAGGCTCTTAACCAGATTCCCACTTATCGGTGAACTTTTGACCCCAAACTCAGCATACGGGACCTTCAGGTCTTCTGACAAGGTCTGCTTGTTATCCTGGGTCCAAGTTTAAGAGCAGAGCTGACAGCTTTTGCTGTTTCCCCACAGCTGTGGGACGGCCTTCCTGTGGTCATGAGATCAGCCGGCAGAAAGGAGGATTTAAACGGCGTCTGGAAATGTTTTCGTACAGACAGGCCTTTTGTTGATGTCTGATTGTCTTTATTTTATTAAACTGTGTGACATTTTGTTCTTGAAAGGTGCTGTACAAAAAAACTACTTACTCATCTTATTATTCCTAATAAGGTTGAATCAGTGTGTTTATATGAGTGTATTCTAGTTACGATGAAAATGTTGTAATCAAATGATGGTAAGGATGGTAAGTGATGTATATATCTGGGATGATTTTATGAGGCGACTTTGGAATGAAACGGTTATACAGAAGTCGCCATTGTGGGAAAATGTTAGTTTAATTAGTTCTGTCTTACTCTTAAAGGTTCAGGTAGAATTAAACACTCCAAGAGCTGCAGCCCTTCAGGGCAGGTGGATAATGTGCTACTTCCGTAAGACAGGAGCTCCCTGGTACCCTGATCTGATCCATTCAGTATTGCCGATTCTGAGTCCTGATCCGATATTTTAATAACTATTTAAATATCCATACACATACTGTACCATAGGCGTCAGTGCAGTCTTTTATCTGAGTGAACCTCGGGATATTGCAATATTCCTCCTTGTGCTGTTTCTGCTCATGCCCAATTAAATTTGTTGTATTAAACGATGCCCTGTTGCTGCCTCCTTCCTAAGGGATTGCATTGCAAACATGGCAGGCAGCTCTCGGGCTACTTTGAGTTTCCAGTTTCAACAGTTTCCACATGGCCGACATCTGCATAGCTTGCAGTTTAAAGCCATGTCCCTCAGGCTTACTGCAGCGTGTCACAGAACCTTACAGTCTGTGCAACTGGCATAAATTAAGTGGATGCAGAAAGCTAAATAGATTGGGCTTTGAACTGGGCTTTGATAGCTGATACTGATCAAGTAAAAAATCCCTGGTTTGGTCCCAATTCTGACATCACTGATCGCTCCCGTGTTGCCTGACCTTACATCTAACATACATGTACATGTTGTATTTAGTGTAACTCTGTGTATCTGGGCTATAGTATCAAACAAGGCCTTCTCTCCATTTTCCCCCACAGATGTTTTCCACTGGTCCTGCCTGAACGAGCTGGCAGCCCGGCTGCCACTACACACAGCCCCGGCCGGGTACCAGTGTCCCTCCTGCCATGGGCCTGTGTTCCCCCCCTCCAACCTGGCCAACCCGGTGGCGGACGTGCTGAGGGAGCGCCTCTCCTCGGTTAACTGGGCCCGCGCGGGCCTGGGCCTGCCGCTGGTGAGGATTCGCACCGACGGCCAGTCGCACTGCCGTCGCTCTTTCGCTTAACTCGGACCGTGTGCGCAGAAGTGAGACGCCAGGCTTTTAGAACAGAGTTGTTGCTTGAAACTGCCTCGTGCATTTTTCATGAGAAGCCAGATCAGGTCATAATCTGGGAAGTGTGGGGCGGTGAAGGTTAGGAGACTGTGCCTGTAATTGGAAGGTCGCTGGTTCAAATCCCGGGGTCTTTAGAATGATGTCACTGTTGTGTCCTTGAGCAAGACCCTTAAACCCCAGTTACTCCAGGAGCTAGTTGACCCTGCTTTCCCAGTTGCACGTCGCTGTGCACAAAAGCGTCTAATAAATACAATTTTATATTTCTTTTTTATTGTCTGTGATGCTAAACTGTAGATAGATATTTACTTATTTGGTTCCCCATCCTGGGTTATTCCCTGCTTTGCGCCATAGCTTCCAGGATCGGTTCTGAACACAATGCTCCTTAGGATCATACAGTTGAATCATTACTACTCTTAAAGTGTTTCAACATAAGCTAAACATTATAACAATCATTACGAGGATTTATTGCAGAAGTGCATTAGTTTTTGCTGCATGTACCTAGTAAACTTGCAACTGAGTACATATACATGTACTTGTGGAACGTACGTATTTCCACTCGGACAAGGACGTCAGTTCAGTAGATGGTCCTTCTATGCAACCCGGGACACATTCACACTGCTATAAGAATGTGGCCATATGAGGCCCAGACTACCTCCGAATGTGGTCTGAGCGATCGGATCTCGATGCGTCCTTATTGAATTTTGGGTGTGATCACACCTGAAATTAGCACTGCCCACTTGCGATCGAATCACCCAGGACACATGTTAATACCAGGTGTGAACCGGGCGTGAACAAACACGTCCAGGAGCCCTCTAGAAGCGGAATCATGGAAGCTTTCCGAGTGGGACAATAAATACAATTAGCATCAAAGGTACAAAGCATCGGGGGCCAGGAGCTGTCATTTAGGGTGCTTTTCCACTGCTCCAAGTGCGGTACTTTGGGTACTTTCACTTTTCCATTGACTTCCAGCCAAGTACCAGTACCAGTACTGAAAGTGCAGTGGAAAACACCTTTAGTCAGCTGTCTGTTCACACCTCCAGGTGGGGGTGAAGGAAACTGCATGCCATTTGGACAGTGTGGGCCAGGTGGGCCACTTTTATATCAAAGGGAAGGAGAACATGGTCAGTGGGCGATGGGAGGCAGTCTTCCTGGTTGGGAGAACCTAAGAAACATGCTGTTCTGCTTCCACATGGGATGGGAGTAACCTTTATCTATGATGCTTATCGTTATCTTTTAAGATTGAAGAAAGGAGCAGTGCACAAGAAAACGCGCCACATGACGTCACTGACTACACCGACTGGTCCTCTTTTGACTGTGAGTGAAAAGTTTTTGGGACAATGAGCTATGAACAATTTTCTGGAAAAGGACATCATTGATATCGTGAGTGAAATTTCACCCCCCCCCCTGCTTTTCCAACAGCACTTACAGCACCATCCACAACCTCTCCAGCCAGCCAGCCCTATATGTCGAACCCGGTGCCCCCCGTGGCCCCCACCCAGGCAGACTTTCCCAGCAGCAGTAACAATGGCAGCCTGCTGTCCCAGTCGCACTGTGTCGTCAGCATGAGCACCGCGTCGGCCAGCGAGTCCGTTGTGCTTCACTCAGGTACCGGCTGCAGACTCGCCCTGGGGCTTTCAGCAGACTCGCCCTGGGGCTTTCAGCAGACTCGCCCTGGGGCTTTCAGCAGACTCGCCCTGGGGCTTTCAGCAGATCATAGAGGACAGATTTACTTACCACAGATTTAGCCTTCTCAACAACCCTCAGATGGATTCAAATCATTATAGTCATATGTAGCTCAAGAACGTCTCAAAATGGCGCACAGAACCTTGAGACATGGGGGACAGTGTTGATGTTTCGATACAGATTGGATTTTCCAAGGTTTATATACAGACAGAAGAGCTGTTTATAGTAGAGTGAAATAAACTAAACCGTAACTGGGACAGGTGAAAACGTTCTCAAAGTCACACCACAAGATGCAAGTGGATGACACAAGCACACAACAGTCCAGTTTACCCTCATTGCATTTAATTCTGAATCCTTATACCTTTGCACACGGCTAAGTCTGGCTCATTGCTGGAGTTTCCATGCAGGGCTGACTTCCTGCTTGCTATGCTGGCATTCAGGCTCTCTTTCTGTCATGTCCTGACATGTCAGGAGCAGCATTCCTCAGCTCCTTCAGCTGTCACTCTGCTCTCAGGGGTATCTCCCAAGTTTTCTTATTGTCTCATATTTAAGTTTGTAGCAATGATGCTCATTTCCACTGTGATCACTCACGGGCTTTTCTGGGAGTTTCTGGTTCTCTTCTGCAGTTCAAATGACATTATTGAAGACACTTAAAATTCCTTGGTCTCTGTTTGACTCTCGTAAAAAGGCCCATTTGTGTGACTAACCTGCATGTTTTTCTTATCTAACTTAATTTAGGTTCAGCAGAGTTTGAATGCATATGTCATAGTTTCTTGTTTATATACTGGCTTCCTGGGTGTAGTCTGTTGTAACCCCCCCTCCCCAACCCTATTATCCTCAGCATCTTCCCCCCGGAAAGTTTATGACACCCGAGACTCTGGACACACATCTGTCACGCAGATCGACTTCGACGACGACAAATATCGGCGTCGCCCAGCATTAAGCTGGTTTGCACAGATACTCAAGTTAGTTACAATCCCTTCATAGTACCAGTTTCATGCACATTCATGTTTTAATTCTTTAAACATTAATTTTAATATAATCCTACATTTTATTCAGTATGCAAATATACAGCTATGAAAAACAGCTGCTCTGTAAGTTCAGGAAAATAAACTTTACTAGCCTGAAATGTATGCTTTGATACACTATTAGTCATTTACTTTATAAGGAGCACCATGTCATTTTTTTTTAATCATACTCAAATGATGTAAAAGTATCAATGCCAGATCTTCAGATTTTGTGACGTTTAGTTTATAAATTACTTTACAGTTAAACCAGTTTATAAAGTAAAATGGCAGCAGCAGCTTTCAGCGTCCTTTCACACTCCTCTTTTTCTAGAAATCGATCGGGTTCCAAGCGGACATCCCTGACACTGAAGCAGAGGGTTCTTCTGGTGCTCCTGCTCGGCACTCTGGGATTTTTCACCCTGATCATCGTCATGGCGAAGCTGGGACGGGCGTCGGCTGACACTGACCCCAACCTAGACCCCCGGCTAAACCCACACATCCATGTGGGGAACAACTAATTGGGTCCTTTGTGTAGGACATGGGCAGAAAGGATTATCAGCTATGACAGAAAAGCAGGTTCTGATATGGTGGGTATGAATATATGTTGGGACCAAGGGATCCAGAGACCATATATTCTCTCTGGAACTATGGTGCAGTTCAGCACCTCTTTAGTTTTGCAGTGGGGTGAAATAACCTCTCTGTTTCTGACCTGATTTTAAGTAGGTTGGAAACCACCTTAAATATTTTTGTTAAACATCAGATTTGCTATGACCTGAAATACCACGTCATAATTTACTCATTTTGCTACAGCCTTAAAACAACTGATTTAATTGTCCAGTTGTGGCCACCACCATGGCTATTAGATCAATGTATAGCTGTCAGTGAACCATTTAATAGATATACATCTTATGCTGCAAAGACTTGAGGCATCCGACATTGATGTAAGGCAATGCCTTTCGTGCAGGGTGCTGTGTGCGCAAGGTTTTAAGCACTGCTCACAAGTTCCGTACTGAGACAGCCGAATTGGTTCATCGACCTGTAACGGTCAGTTTAGTAGAAGAGTACTAAAGTAGACCGAAAACGTGTGCAGGCAGAGGAACCTGCTGACATTGGAGTTCCGCAGCCCTGTGTGCCCTCTGTCAGCATGCGGATTTTTAGCAGCCCTGTGTTAACTCGTGTGTATGAAATCATATTCTCTTTCTTTATGTAATTCTGGGTGCATCTACACAAGTTGCAATAGATATTAATATACTGGAACAATGACAATATGTATATTACAAGCTGTATTAAATTTATTAAATATCCTCAACTGAGTGAGTAGCCGTGTGGGGAAAAAGGTACAAAATGAGTTTTTAAATGAGACACACTGTAATATTACCTTGCAGTTGCCAGGTAAGCAAATCTGAATGCCAGCCCCCACCCCCAAATTTCAAGTACTAAATTGTTCAGGCTGATGGAAATGCAATTAACACTACTTTGTTTTTTTTTTTTAAACCATGCACCTTGCCTCTGTACTTTCTGTACTGAAGAGTTTGATAAACCTATGTAAAAAGCTTAAAGAAAAATGTCAAATCTTACTGTAATATTAGACTTAATGTCTTATCAATGATTGACCATTTCCCACAAGAGAATCCGTACCAACACTTTAGGGTAAACTAGCAGGCCTGATCTAGGCACATATGGACTTAGGTTAGTGCTGAAGTTGGGTCTGACACTTAAGTCATGATAATACCACAAGTTATACGATCACTATTTTCAACCGTTGAAAGATATTCTTTACTGCTTATCTCATAAGATGTCTTCCTGTACTCATGTTTGTTTCTTATAATTTTTATTTATTTCGTCTGTTAATTTTTGCTCATTACACTGAATTTGAAACCCACAATGTGTCTTGCGCTGCTAAAAATAAACGCGTCTTTTTCACGAAACGCACATTTCTACATACTATTACGTGGCTTGGCAACTTGTAATTCAGTCCACTTCAGGAACTTGCTCCCCCCACCCAACTGGGAACAGTTGTTCTGCAGTTTGCAGCGTGTGCAACATAAATATCTGTTACACTCATCGCCTTGTTTCAAAAACACGTGGACAACCCCGACATGTACTTCACTGTAGGCGATCCCAACCTTCTGTACGTTGTACAAAAATATCTCGGAACCATAAGGCAGTCGGTAGAGGGGGCGGGGGACGATCGGCCATTTCATGACTGTGACCCTTCCCATTTATTCAATGGAAACAGCAGTGCGAACCAGAGAGTCTTATAAAACTGAAAATACAATTTATTTTTATAAATCAACCAACCTCTCCACAAAATGCAGAGTTCCGGAGGCCGCTGGGATACTGGCCACGGACGGGGGGTTGGAACCCCTACTCTAGTGCACAGCATTTTTGGTATTTTTATAAACATTTATCGTTATTCAACCTACTATCTTTAAAAACAAAGTATCATTCAAGGTCTGATATATCATAACTATGCTTTAGTGGTAAATGCAATATTTCAGTAATGTGTTATATTACATCAACATAGCGAAGAAACATCGAACACTGAAACCACGCCGAAGCCAGTTACGCCGGAAATGGCCGAATGTGCACCGGAAGCTCATTTGTCGCAGGTTACTATGCGCAGAAACGGAACCGCTTTGTTTACTCTACACCATTTCGTACGTGGAGTCCCAACAGACTAGCAAATTCGTATTGTTTATATGATTAGATGCTTAAATCGTTAAGCATTGATTTGTGTTATGTTTGGCCACAGATATAAGATTTCTAGCATTAATCAACCATTAGACTATTTTGAGTAATCACTGCCATTACTTACCACCATTAGTCTTGTGATTTTGTAGTGATAATTGTTCAGTGGTAGATTAAGGTCACCGTATTTTGATTTTCACAAAAAGAGGACACTGGGGACATGGCGTTAAAACAAAGAAAATACGCGCACATAAAGTATTCTGACTTTGAAAAGCAAATGTCAGCCCGAAAAAAGTCTAAATACCTGACATTTCAGATAATTGTAGGTCTCGACATTTTAGGTTCCAAAACAGGACGTTTAGTCACCCTAACTAACAAAAATACAAATTAACACCGAATTAGTGATATGTGTATACAATAGTTTTTCTTGTTTTGTGCTGTATCCTGTTTTCTAGACACTTCCAGAGTTCTAAAGCTTGATTTTTTTGTAATACGCTGGTAATAATAAAACATTGTCCAGATTGATCTGTAACTTTATATTCAATTAACATCGTATGCTGTAATGCTTTTTAATCGTTTTCGACTCAATGACAATAGAAAGAGCTTGACTGTAATTGTTTTGGGTGGTGTTCGACATAGTCGGGTTTTACCTCGCACTACACGTTACAAACAACTTCGGTTCAGTCACGTATTTCACATACTACACATGCGCACTTCTTAACTGCGCAAAACGAAAAGGAGTTCGGTTGTTTTGGCCGGTTTGTTCCAGTTTGTTCTGGTATGATAAACCTTTGTCTCTTGTATACATCCGCCTGCTACAGCGTGCGTTTTTGTGACGTAGCGTGTTATTTTTTGAAATTTCCAAATTGAGTGAGGTTTGCGTCGGCGTGGTACTGGACTGCACTGTACTGGAATTTAAGCAGTTAGTCATGTTTGTTATTTGTGATTCATTAATTAAGTTCTTTTTAAGTACGAAAACCATTTTATAGTTGACAATCCCCGTTCACATATATAGTTCACGTAGCCCCATTTACAAGCGAGGAAACTTTAAATCCACTTCGACTGTATTGTGTTCGTGAGAAATCTATTTTTAAATCCTCATTCAGTAAACTACTTGACAATGCTTTCTTAGTTGTACAAATCTTTGCCCCAACGAGCCGTTTGTAACATCAATCTAGAGAGCTATCGGACGTATAAAAATCTTTCATTTGCATTATATTATTATAGGGCAGTCGTATTAAATATGAATAACCACAATTTAAATCAATTAATGGAATGCAGCAGGGCAACGTTCTTTACATTAATGAATCATTGAAAATGTTTAAGATGTATGTTAAACGGTACGTGACTAAACTAAAACCATTAAAGACATTAAATGTAGCTAATGGGTCACTTTTAGTTCGAGAATATATGCATAAACCATACAATAGTTATTTGATTAGTATTTGTTTTATGTAGTATTTAATTTTAACTTCTTTGTTAGGGACTATTTTTTTCTTCTTGGCGCATTCAGCTCGTGACTTGGTTGCGCTGTGTCCTGGGTATATATATATTTGACTGGATCGTAGCAGCGTCAGCCATTTCATAGGGCCTATGCTGCGTGTCTTTAGTAAGCAAGTTACACGGCGAAGGTGGCTTTCTTTCCTTCTTTTAATAAGTAGCGTCTGTTATCGTTCGTTGTAACTCTGTTGTGTTTTGGTGCTTTTTATATTTTATTTTATTTTATTTTATTTTATTTGAAAAGTTGAATTCAAAGAATTGTTTAGCGCTTGTTGTTAATGTTAACCGTAAATGTATTTAATCGTTATCGGGCGTGATCGTTATGCTACCGTTTAGTTAGTTTTCCCCCCCTTCCTTTCAAAGAAAACTACCGAACAAGGGTGTGGTAAGCAATCTGTTACGTAGCATCGACTAAATAACTGTCCATTTGGTCTTTGACGGTAGTATATTGAATATATTAATATCAAGTTTCTAAAAGTAACTTGTTACAGCTAAAACAATATTTTGTATCGCTATATGGTCAATTAATTCAAGTAAATGACGCGACGCGGTCTGTGCTTAGCTTATAGCTGAAAGGGTGGGCGACTGGTCAAGTGAGAATATTCTCGAATGACTAATTGTGTTTTCTATTGTGCTGCGTCATGTTAAATGGTTGCCAGCAATTGCATTGTTTACTACGTTTGTTCGATCGGGGCGTAATAATATTGTATTGCGATTTTATTTTTCTAACGTAAGTGTATGTTTAACTTTATAAAATGTTAAACGTGATTTATTTAGTTGACAAGGCCCGTTCACAAGTGAGGAAATCAGAATTTTTAATCCAGTTCGACTGTCGTGTTCGTTAGAAACCTATCTTTAAATTTTCATTCACTTAACTACTTCAGTAGTTATTTAACCGAAAGAAGTTTTATTGCAGTTTGAAATTTACTTATCGTATGGGTTTTGTTAGACGTCCATGGTCATTGTCAATCGCCAGTTAAAAAAAAAAAAAAAAAAGACGAAGGCAAAACTGGCAGCTTGTCAAGGAGCAATATTTCTCAGTTAGTGACGCATTGAAGAAATATGTAGTGTCTCGCAGCCACCCCCAGTGGCTGACTAGGGAAGGGCATCTGATTTCTCAGCCTATAAGGGTTAGGGAGGTTAAGGAACTGCCATATGTGGCAGATACACCCGTTTTGAAAATGTTTTTTTCTTTTTATATTTACCAAAAAAAATAACATAAGCACTGTGCCTTTTAAAGAAAGTATGCAGATTTTGAAGGTGAAGACTGAAGCTTTTTTTTTTTTCTAAAATCCAATGGGAGAGGAGAGAGGACTGAGTTAATTAAATATGATGGACATTGCCGATTGCGGGATCGTGGAGCAGGAGGAGGATCTCAGGATCAGGAGACAGCCAGGCAAGATAAGAAGTCACGTGTGCCAGTATAATCCAGAGGGTGACGACCAACAAGAGGGCAGCGGATAGCGGGTGCATCAGAAGAGTTGGCGTGAGACAGCACGGTTGTGGCCGGAAGTTTTGAGAATGACGCAAGTATTGGTTTTCACAAAGTCTGCTGCCTCAGTTTTTGATTATAATTTGCATATATTCCAGAATTTATGAAGAGTAATCAGATGAATTGCAAAGTCTCTGCCATGAAAATGAACTTAAATCTCAAACCCGTTTCCACTACATTTCAGCCCTGCCACAAAAGGTCCTGTTGACATCAATTCAGTAATTTTCTCATCACAGATGCAGGTATTGATGTGGAATAGGCTGATTCAGTTGGTGCTTGAAATCATTGTTCTTCCTGTTAGTCATGGTTACCTGCAATGAAACGCGTGCAGCCATCATTGCTTTGCACAAAAAGGGCTTTACAGGCAAGGATATTGCTGCTAGTAGGCTTGCACCTACATCAACCATTTATCGGATCATCAAGAACTTCAAGGAGAGAGGTTCAATTGTTGTGAAGAAGGCTTCAGGGCGCCCAAGAAAGTCCAGCAAGCGACAGGACCGACTCCTAAAGCTGATTCAGCTGCGGGATCGGGGCACTACCAGTGCGGAGCTTGCTCAGGAATGGCAGGAGGCAGGTGTGAGTGCATCTGCACGTACAGTGAGGCGAAGACTTTTGGAGGATGGTGTGGTATCAAGAAAGGCAGTAAAGAAGCCACTTCTCTCTGAGAAAAACATCAGGGACAGACTAATATTCTGCAAAAGGTATAGGGATTGGACTGCTGAGGACTGGGGTAAAGTCATTTTCTCTGCTGAATCCCCTTTCCAATTGTTTAGGGCATCTGGAAAAAATATGGTCCAGGGAAGAAAAGATGAGCGCTATTTTCAGTCATGTCTCATGCCAACAGTAAAGAATCCTGAGACCATTTATGTGTGGGGCTGCTTCTCAGCTAGGGGAGTGGGCTCTCTCTCAATTTTGCCCAAGAACACAGCCATCAATAAAGAATGGTACCAAAACATCCTCCGAGAGCAACTTCTCCCAACCGTCCAAGAACAATTTGGTGATGGACGATGCCTTTTCCAGCATCCTGGAACACCTTGTCATAAGGCAAAAGTAATAACTAAGTGGCTCGGGGAACAAAACATTGACATTTTAGGTCCATGGCCAGGAAACTCCCCAGACCTTAATCCCATTGAAAACTTGTGGTCAATTCTCAAGAGGCAGGTGGACAAACAAAAACCCGCAAATTCTGACAAATTCAAAGCATTAATTATGCAGGAATGGGCTGCCATCAGTCAGGATTTGGCC